GCCCTCCCACTAGGCAGAGGGCTTGGGGACAGCCAACCACTCTTTCTCCAAGAGCGTCTCTTTTTGTCCTCAGCTGTGTGTAATTTTTCTCTCTCATGTCCAGTGACATGCTTTGCCCTCGGGGGGCTGGACTGAGCCCCAGTCTTTCCAACAAGCCAAGGAGGAGGTTGGCTGGGTGACTGACTGACAGGCATCCAGACAGGAGCTGATGATCATCATTGGGGAGGGATCCTAGACCCACTTGGACTTGGGCTCCTATTTTTTCCCTTCTTCTGGCAAAAGAGCATCCGTCTTTGTTGTGGTGTTGAGCTCATCCAAATCAAGAAGGCGGTTTCTCTTCTAAAAGACAGAGAGGAAAAAAAAAAAAAAAAAAAAAGACAGAAATGGAAAAAAAAATTTAATTTTAACCATGCTCTCCTTTGAAACTAAATATATACCCCTTCCTCTATTCTGATTGGTCTGCTTCCGTTGACAAGTGGATCGCGGGGGAAAGGAAAAGATCCTGGACTTAATTGTAAGTTAAGACTCTCTTAATCCAGAAGAGCATTTGAGATTCTGTCCGAGTGTTCAATTTCCCAGGCCGCTGAGGTCTGTGAATTTCTTTTCCAAGCCTCCAGGCTGCTGCAGTACAACTCAGCATAGCTAATGCAGATAGATCTGCCTGTCGCCTCCCTCCTCCCTCGGCTTTGATTCGATATGAACAGCCTGGTAACTCCGATGCTGGGGAGAAATCTGACATAACTCTGCAGATGGCTAGGTTGCCATGAAACACCTGGGGATTGTTCTTTAAGAAAAAGGTAACATTTATATGCTAATGATCTCTTCCCCCCTCCCCTCCTTTTTTTTTTTTTCTTCCAGGGCTGCCCGTTCCCAAGAAGAGCCCAAAGTCGGTAAGGACTTGTCAGCTACTTGGTGCTTGTTTGGGGGTGGGGGGTTGGCACGGGGGTTGGGGTGGGAGGATGTGCGAGATCTGGCTTCCCTTGGCTAAATGCATTTCGGAGACGGGAGCCGGTGGCTTGCTTTGATTAAGTTCTGGGGATCTGTTTGGTATAGATGGGGGTTTGGGCTTATCTTGTAAACTGTGGGGGATTCGTGGGCAAAGCTGCAGGAGCTGGGATAAAGGATTGCATGTGAGTACCTTCACCGTGCAGAGGGATCACAACTCTCCTTCCAGCAGATGAGTTTCAGAGCCGGGTTTTAACTTGCTACATACAAATGCTATTGTTTCCTTTTGCAAAAAGACTCCACCTGCTCCGTGGGTAGCATTGCTCTCAACTGGTGTTTCCAGCCGGTTCACATGGCTACTCATGGCTACTCATTCTCTCCCAGAGCTTTTTTTTTTTTTTGGTGCATGGATTGATGACTTATTTACAAATTCTAAAGCCTGTAGGTTTAAGGAAGGCTTCTTTTGCCCCGTGAGCATGTCCATGCTCGGGTGGAGCAGGTTTTGCGTGGCCCCAGCCCTGAGAATAAGACATTTCCTAGCTGTGGAAATGCCCTTTGTTGTTTGGCTGGCTTTAGCAGCATTATGCTGCAGGTATAGGATTCTTAAAAAAAAAAAAAAAATCAATGTTTTGCTGTCCTTTCTAATCTGGTTTCCCTGAAGATGCATTACCTACTTGACACGTTAGCTAATGGCTTGGAGGTTATGGTGTTTGGGCTTGGTGGTCTGCTGCTTTTGCTCCGGGGGGCACTAACAAGAAATTAAAATGCTACTTAAAAATTCAAAATCTGGAACTCTGTGTAATTGATCGGGGTGGGAAGAGGCCTCCCAGTTCATTAGCACTGGGATCCAGAAGGGTGCTTCCTGGTGACTTAAAAGATTTTGGGGGGACGGGCAGATTTACAGCTTCGTGCATCCCCCCCCTCTCCCGGGGAAAGAAGGACCTTTAAAACTTTGCATGCTTCCAGGGCTGGGCTCAGTTCTTTCCACCTGTCTCCAAGCGTGGTGGCGCCAAGCAGAAGTTTATTAAGACGGGAGAGGGAGCTTCCTGCATCCCTGAGCCCCACTCCTAAGTTCTCCAGAGAGAAAAACCTGCAGTCATTGATGTGATTCCATTGGCATAGTGCCATGGTCATGGGGAAGGGCGACTCCAGGGCTGCTGGCCCTGTCAGTCTGTGTTAGGCAGGGATGGGCTGGTCCGTGTCCACACTGGAGCTCCAGAGATGCTAACGCATGTGCATGTGCACATGTGTGTCCCCCTGTCCCTTGCCCGTCGTCAAAAACCCATTTGGCCTTCAGAAAAATAGAAGTGAGTCTGGAAGACGTGTCTCCCGAGCTCGGGTTGGTGCAAGCCGTTTTTTTTTCTCTTTTCTCCTCCCCTACCTGCAGCCATGCTGGGCTGAGACATGGGTTTATTTTAAACACCTGCATGGCCCAGACAAGAAGCCTATGGGGAGACGTAGCAGTGTGACACTGGTGGCATGACCAGAGGCAGCCAGGTGTCCCTCTCTGGCATCCTACTTACATTTACTGGGCACAAGGATTTTTGAAATCCGGATACAACTCATCTTCCCCATAGCGTTTTGGCATTACCTGGGGAACCCCCAAAGGGTCTCAAACAGGTACAGAGGCTGCATTCACCAACTCAGTGGGCGCCCCCACCCCAGAGCCAGTTTATTTTGCAAGAGCCATGTCATTAGCAAGCAGCCAGCCAATTACTCGGGCTGCCTTCCTAGGGAAAGAGCTCTCTTAACGGCTTTGGCCACAGTCTGCTGGCTCTTAATTACCACAGGCCCACAGAGTGGTGGCTGCCGGGCTCCCAAAGAACAAACCCCCCAACTTGAGGCCTGTCCTTCCCCGATTCCGGTGCCAGCACGGGGATGAGGGTCTGGGCGGCATTGCTGGTCCACTCTGGCAGCTGCTGCAGGAACTCTGGGGCTGTCAGCCAAGGTGTGCTCTTGCAGTGGAGCTCACATCTGTGATGGGTGGGAGCTCTGCACAGGTGGGCGGGAAGCCCCTTCCCTCTCCCAGTGGGCATCTCAGTGGTGTCCTGCCACAGAGACAGGGGGGGATGGGATTTTTCTGGTGGGGGATCCACAAGGAACCTGGATGCCCTGGGACCTGAAAGTCACTCACTCGGGTTGGGACCAATTGGTCCAGTTCTGCAGCCTGCATGATCACAAGCCTGGGTTGTGACTCGCTTGGATTTGCCAAGCAGCTCTGTGCACGTGGTTTTGGAATCCAGGACGGGG